CCTTTCTGTATTTAATTATAGGAGCTGCTAAAAGATTTTATTATGTTAGCTGTGTTTTGTTTTATTTTGATGAACTGGAGAACAGGCATTCATAAAATTATAATACGTTGAATATACTTCTCTCCTCATTTGTTCTCTTTTTCCTCTTTTCCCCCTTTTTCCTTTTTTTCCTCTTTTTCTTCCTGGTAGTATTTAGATGTCTTTTACATTTATATTTAGTTAATGCAAAAAACAGGTTCTAAAATTGTAGACAATACTTTTTAACAGAAATAATGAATAAGCTGAATGTTATCTACATAAAATTATACCTACAAATGCATTTAATACTTAATTGTGTGTAAACTGCTCATTTGTATGGTTCAGTTGTAAATAAAGTAGAAAACGGTTTGCAAATGAACATTGTACTGAATATACAATCTAAAGACTAACAGTTTTCAGTAACTTCACTAAAATAAAATGTTGCCATGTTCTAATTTCAGTGCACCGAGGCAGAAGGAGTAGTTTAAACAAAGCAGCAAAGGATATGTCAACTTTAGATCGTGTAGCGTACTTGTCCTGTGACAAATTCCAGCAAAATTAAAGAGCAAAGAGTTTATATATGAATAATAAAAAAGGATACATTGATATCATTTAAAGTTTAACATGATTGTACTTGCTTTTACCTAAAGTTAAGAGCAAAACTCAATCTTCTCCAGTAAAATAGGACTTGATCTGAAGAAGTACGCAGTGGTGACAATATCCGTCGATTCTTGCTGGGAACAAAAGTACTCGGACATAATATATGTTTGGTAAAATTCTATTTTATCAATCAGAGTGAGGCTGTTGATAAATTTGAATACAGACTGTGCTTAGAAAGTGGCAGAGGTTGATAATCAGGCAGGGTGCCTCCCGAGAAGCTGTGCTCTCCTCACTTGGGGTTCAGCTGGCAGATGTTGAATATGCTGAAATTCATCCTGGGAGGTGCAGGATCCCTGAGAGCATGGAGCCTTTATCACTCTTTATGGGCCTTCACGAAAATAGACCACTATTAAATACCTTAGAGAGAGGCTCAGTTTCTCCAAAATTTCCATTTAGTTTCACACACTTGGCCTGCATTATTCTGCAGTTGAAGTCCCTTCGACTTCAGTGGATATTTCGAGTACACACAGATTGTAACACTCAGCCCTTCAGAAAATACGGATGCTCTCAAACAGTGTTTTCATTTTAGACTCAAAGGGCTGAGTTGTCTGAGGTATTTTGCTTCTTAGAAAATCACTTTCTATATTTTTAAAACATACCAGCATAGAGGGGAGGTCTCTCTCTATGCATTGTGTTGTTGCATTGTACACGTGTTGTATATGCATATGAGAGGTAGAAGAGAGAAATATTCTGTACTGATAGAGAGGTGAAGTAATTTGCATTTTTATAGTGCTAACTGGTAAGCATTACAATTGACAGAGATTCAGTCTACTGGATGTGGCTTCCATAGCAAGTAATACTTTCAAGCAGATGAAGTGAAATCTATAATGAACAGTTGAGGAAGGGAATAAAAATAGGGATGAGAGTGTAAATGGGTCTTGTCACTCACAGAAGAACAGATATAAAATAGGAGGTGAAAAGGAAAATTTACATGACCACTGTGTTCCTGCAAGGAGTATGCCTTCACAGTTCCTGGTGAGATATGTGTGTTACAGTAGGTAAGGAATTTTCAGGCAAGGAAAATTCTTTTAGGAAAGAAGATGCATGCATACATAAAAATAGATATTTAGATAGATTTTAATTTCTCAGTATTGTCTTTGGGGGAAAGAAGAATTAAATACTTTGCTTCAGATTGAAGCAGATAGATTGATGTATTTCACTGGATCAAACTGAATTGAACGTTCCTTAGACGTTAACTAGATACTAGTTTATATAAATTTATAACACTGCAGCAACTATGGCAGATTTGGGATGGGTGGTTCATCCACCCATTCTTTATGCTTAAGCTTCCTGGTTCAATTACCTCTCCCATGCAAAACAGTGGGTTTCCCCTGTAATTTAATTCTTTATCCTGAATTTTGAGAATGCTATTGCAACAGTGATTTATGACAGAAGTAGTGCAGCCAAAACAATGTTAGGATGAACCAGTGGACCTCCAGTTCTTGGGAAGAACTATAGTTAGGAAATAACAAATAAGATCTCAGGGATTATCTAAAATGTGTATTTTGTCAAACTGAGCTGACAAATTTCAGTTCCATGGTCATAGGCTGAAACCACAGAATGTATATCTGATATTTAGATCTAAATTTTATTTGCTTCTCCTGATGTCCAAAAAGAATTTTGTCCAAAAAGAACTTTGTCCAAACTGCTTATAATAAAAATGACAATAAATTATATCAGCATACTATATAGGAACAGGATGATGCAAATATTACTTGGAATAGAAAGTAATTTCAGATCCAAAAAAACCTAGGTGGTAGAAAAATGGTCACAAGCTATATAACATAGTATCTATGTTGTGTAATATGATAAAGTAAATTTATTTTTGTCTGTGTGTTTGTGAGCTGTTTTGAGCTTACACACGATGCTATTTAATTTATGCCATTTGATTTATATTTTGGGAAAAGACCAAGCGATCCACAGAAGCTTCTATGTTAAATGATGCTCTATATTTGATTGATACAAAATAAGGCTAGAGAGTAGTATAGTGATACTCTTTCCTGTTCTGACATTGTACTGACAGTTCATTGGGCCCACAGATACTGAATTAGATGTTCAGCTGAACTGATCCATGTGTAAAAGTCTGTAGGAATAACTGTAAATCAGTGGTGAGCAACAGGAGTGCTAGAAGCACCAAATCCTCAAGTTCTGAGTCAGTTCAGTCTCGGGCAATGCCCACTAATTTGGCAGTCATGGGTTAAATTCTTATCTTCTCAGCTTTCATCTCTGAAACCAAAGAAAAAAATAACAGATTACCACATGCAAGTCCTTTAGAGCATGCTATAGCAATGAACTGATGAATGAAGTAGCATAAAAGAAATAATAATAGCGTAAGTTAAGGGTTAAGTTAGAGATACTTTGAAAAAGAAGCGGAACAGTACAATATTTAGATTTCTTCTGGCAAAAATATCTAAACCAAAGAACTGAGCTTTGGGGTTTAATTAGATTGCTGCCACAGAGATGCATATTGATTGCTGCAGTTCATGCTGAATTATTTAGAAAGTTTATTAAAATTTTGAACTGTGCTCAAAAATGTGTTAAGTGAAAATGCACATAAGATTTGGGGGCATGGAATCCCCTGATGGAAGGCATGGAATCATCCTGATTGTAAAGGAGTAGAAACAAAACTGCTTGCTTAAACAAGTCTGTCAAAGGGGAGATGACACACAAAGCTGCCCACCAGAATCCTCTGAGGACCATAAAGACTACTGGTAATGTGTTTCCGGCAACTGAGTAGCAAGATCTGAGAAAGGTCCTAATTCCCCTTTCAGAAAGGCATAGAGTGAGCCAAACAAACACTTACATGATGGTTAAAGAGAGTATTATAACTCTAACAAAATAGCAACAAGAACAGCTATTCTCTGGGGGGCTAGAAGTCCCTACTGTGCAGATCCTTGCTTTCCCAAGTGGTTCATGACCTACAGCAGCACCCTGCCTCCTTAAATAGCAGCAGCAGCTGCTCCACACAAATCCCAGATCCTCTATTTGTAGCAGCAGAGATGTCTCTAGGATGGTGTTTATCAATGATGTCTTTCTTTCGTAATGTGACAGTACTAATTCAAATATAGTAAAGCCCAGACGGGTCTCTCTTTTCTTAAAATTATGTCCTCAGTTATAAATCCTTAGCACAAATAACTGATATCTAAGAAACTGTCTCTTAATTGCATAGTATTCACATTGTGCTTAATATAATTATTTCCTTACAAAGTGAAGATCTGAAGGTACGTGAACTAAGCATAGTAATTCTTTACACCAGCAGTGAGTATCCTTTTTTCGCTTGCCAATTTTCTCACTAGCTCACAGTATCACTCACTCAATCTGAGTGTATAAAGACTCTTGGACGTTTTTTAGGTATTGTGGTCTCAACCTTGTATTCACTGAGCACTCAAAATGCACAGCAGCATACAGTAAAAAAAGTTGGGCGGGCCAGGATGGCAGGAGCAGGCACCCTAGCAATGTGACTTTATGTTTGCACAGCACTTTGCAGGCAAACTCCAGCTCATCTCAGCTGAGCCATACATCGCCTTGGGTGTGCTCACACAGTCTCTGCCTAGCTCAGAGCACACCTAGACCTCCAGCCCAACGTCTTGGAAATAGGGATGGCCCCAGGCAGAGCTTCCTCACATCCTCCTGCAAAATACAGTACAGATCAACTCTAAGTGAATACTAATTGAAACCTCGGTAAGAAATAAGGTTTTGTAAATAGCACAGCACGTGCATTTACAGTAGAAGAGTAAAGAAGCTAAATCTTGAGACAAGACGAGAGGCAAGAAGTAGATAAAATGACAGGGCAGCACAGCGGATCACTGTGGTAACTGTGATTATTATAGCTTGTTATTATAGATTATAATAGAGACACACAGCATGCTATTTCCTTAGACCTCTTCTTTATAAGGCAGGAGGGAGTTGATTATGTGCCATATAACAGGGCCACATCCTTGTGTCAACCAGCAGCAGTAGGGATTAAATCTGTGATTTCTGAATCTTCATCCATGTGCCTCTACTGCTCTTCTGTGCTAAAGATACAGCCTATCTGTATTAATCTAATCTATGTCATGACCTAGGCATCAAAGATTTAACAGTGTGATTTACTTCTATACAATGTCCAGCTAATACTGGAGTGGAGCATAATGCAACACTGTATGGGCATTGGCCTAATATGCAGAAATAGAAGAGCATATAGTCTTTTCAAAAAGGCCATATGAGTCATCCTATAAATCATCTGAATAACAGGTTTAAAACTAGTAATATTTTCTTTCAAAAGTGACTTCTTTTTTTTTTTTTAGGGTTTTTCTGATAATAAGTCCTAAACTCTGATACCCATGGATGCTGCAGAGTTCCGCAAGAGAGGGAAGGAGATGGTGGACTATATTGCAGATTACCTGGAGAAGATAGATAAAAGACAGGTCTTCCCAGATGTGGAACCAGGATATCTAAGGCCCCTCATTCCGGACTGTGCGCCCCAGGATCCTGAGAGCTTTGAGGATGTCTTTAAAGACATTGAGAAGATCATTATGCCAGGGGTAAGAAAAATGGATCTGTAGTGTAATGTTTAATACTGCATTTAGGTTTTCAAAGACTTTAAGGGAAGTGTGGATTGAAGGCTGTGCAGCTAGACTTTATGAACATAAGTACCCACACCGACTAGCTTTTAGAAGGCAGGAGTCTGATTTACATCTGTGGTTAAATGTGATCTAACCCTTTACACAACTAATGTTTTCTGTTCTTGCTAGAAATAATCAAATCATTCTTTTGCTTCATGCGAGGCTTGCTTTTGGAAATAAACCCCTTTCCTGCCTTGAATTGGTTAAGGCAAAGCTTCATAACTTTCAATTTCATGTGATATTTTTGCTACTTGCAAAGCACGGTAAATATTTTATAAAATGGCATTTTTATTAGTCTGCTGTGCCTAAAGTATTCCTTCAAGCTGATCTTTAAATGTTAAAATTCTCTTAGGAGGCTTCTTTTTATTACAGAATTGACTAGAAAGGATTCTCCCCAGTACTTGCTCTGTTGACTTACTCTCCTAAATGTCAGCTTCTTCTAGTACCTTTTAAGGCAGATGACCACTACCTAAATATTAGTCCTTGGCTAGATCAGTGTTGGACAGACAATGCAAAACAAAGCGTCCGGCATTTGTCCAGTTCTGAATCTTTCTTGTTTTTCCACTCACAGTATACCTTTTTTATTTTAAATACATGCTTGTCTCCTGAGGCCTGTAAGTAGCTTGAAGAGGAGTGGATTATTAGTAAATGTTAATGAGGAATCTCTCCTTTGGATCTCTGCAATAACCGCTTTGGGTTGCTTCTCTGGATGTAGCTAGGTGATATGATTGCTATGTGACTGGACATGGAACCAGTGCTCTGCAAATGTGTTTAGTCAGTGTACTATAATACCAATTCCTTCTCATTGACCAATGTAAACATTTGATATTCAGTACGACCTTATCTTGTTTTCCTTGGAGCCAACCCTGCTGTCCTTTCACAGGCAAAAGCTCCACTGAAGTAAATGGAAATCTCTCCACTCTTCACAAAAATTTGTGGATGAAGTCTTAAATCCAACAGAATTAAATCAGTGCAGATTAGATAAGAGAATTATGTCCAACACATGCAAATACTTTCATTGCTGCTCATAGATACGATTGCCTTTCCTTTTTCATTGGAGGAAAATACTAACCAATTTTTTTTCTCTGTGAAGTAGAACAGAAAACACTTTGCTTTGAACACTTGAGAATGTTCAATAAAATAATATCAAATTAAAAAATAAGAGATGAATCATTTGAGAATAGAAAGTGAGACATTCAATTCCAATTAAGTCATCAACGTGTCATGTTCCCTCTTAACTAAATTGATTTTTTCTTGATATTTACATGCCCTGCAAATAAATTTACTTTTACAGTGATACATTCTGAAGAAGAAATGTTCTATCCAAAACTTTCCTCTGGTGTGAACTGTTAGTGTTTGTGACACAAAGAGCACAAGTACATAAATCCCAGTTCTTATAGTAACTCTGATTCTGCCTGTGTTGTTTATACTACATACTAAAGACTCACATGAGCACAGAATCGCCAAGTCATAGTATAGTAGAGGTTGGATGGCACCTCTAGAGATCAGTTAGTCCACCCCCACTGCTGAAAGCAGAGTCAGTTAGAGCAGGTTGCTCAGGACCATGTCCAATTTGGTGTTGAATATCTCCAGGGATGAAGTCTTCACAATCTCTGCTGTCCTGTTCCAAAGTAACAGTCCTCACAGTAAAAAAGCTTTTTCTTATGTTTAAGTGGAATTTTCTGTATTTCATTTTGTACACATTTCTTCTTGTCTTGTCACTGGATACCACTGAGAAGAATCTGGCTTCATCTTCTTTACACCTTCCCATGAGGTGTTTATACACATGGACAAGATACCCTCTGAGCTTTCTGCAGGCTGAACAATCCAAGCTCTCTCAGCCTCTCATGATATGACAGGTGCTCCAATCCATTAATCATCTCCATGGCCCTTCACTGGAATCACTCCAGTATGTCCATGTTTTTCTTGTACTGGAGAACCCAGAACTGGACACAGCATTCCAGGTGTGGCCTCACCAGTGCTGGTAGAAGGGAAGGATCACCTCTTTTGACCTGCTGGCAACACTTTTCCTAATGTGGCCCAGGATGCTGTTGGCCTTGTTTGCTGCAAGGGCATATTGCTGGCTTATGTTCAGCTTGTCCACCAGGACCCCCAGGTCCACTTCTGCAGAGCTGCTTTCCAGCTAGTCTATCCCTGGCCTGTACTGGTACAGGGGGTTATTCCTTCCCAGGTACAGGATTTTGCATTTCTCTGTTGAACTTCATGAGATTCCTGTTGGCTCATTTCTGCAGCCTGTTGAGGTTCCTTTGAATTGCAGCATGACCATATAGTGTATCAAACACTCCTCCCAGTTTTACATCATCTGCAAAACTGCTGAGGGTGCGCTCTGTCCCATCGTCCAGGTCATTAATGAAGATGTTAAACAGTACTGGCCACGGTATTGATTCCTGGGGTACACCATTGGCCTCCAGCTGGACTTCATGCCACTGATCACAACCCTTTGAGTCTGGCAGTTTAGCCAGTTTTCACTCCACTTCACTGTCCACTTATGTAGTCCATATTTCATCAGTGTGTCAGTAAGGATGTTATGGGAGACAGTATTGAAAGTCTTAATGATATCCTGTGCTCTCTCCTTGTCCACCAAGCCAGTCATCTTGTAGAAGGCCGTCAGGTTGCTTAGGCATGATTTCCCCTTCATAAATCTTTGCTCCCTAGCCCCAGTCACCTTCTTGCCCTTAATATGTTTTGAAATAGCTTCAAGGTTCCGTCATCTTCCCTGGGATTGAGGTGAGGCCTGTAGTTTCCCAGATCCTCTTTCTAGCCCTTCTTGAAGATAGATGTGACATTTGCTTTTTTCCAGTCCTCAGGAACATTCCCCAGTTGCCATAACCTTTCAAAAATACTTGAGAGTGGTCTCAATGATATTGTCTAGCTCCTGCAGCACTTGTGAGTGCATCCCATTAGGCTCCATGGACTCATATATGTCCAGTTTATTTAAATGTTTCCTAACCTGATCCTCCTCCAGGTAAGGTCTTCCTTGCTCAAGGCTTTCCCACGCGTCTCAGGAACCTGCGATTCCTGAAGGCAAATTTACCAGTAAAGACTGAGGTGAAAAAGGCATTGAGTGCCTCAGCCTTTTCCCTGTCCTTTGTCACCAAGTCCCCAACCCCATTTGGCAACAGACCTACATTTACCCTATTTTCCTTTTAATGCTGATGAACCTGCAGAAGCTTTCTTGTTGCCCTTCACATCCCTCACCAGATTCAACTCTAGATGGCTTTGGCTTTCCTAACCCTGTCCCTACATACTCAGACAGTGTCTTTATAGACCTCCTCTCCTGGGTCACCTGACTGTCCTTGCTTTTCTTATATGCTTCCTTTTTACATTTGAGCATTGTCAGGAGCTAATTCATAGAATCACAGAATCATAGAATACCAGGTTGGAAGGGACCTCAAGGATCATCTGGTCCAACCTTTCTTGGCAAAAGCACAATCTAGACAAGATGGCACAGCACCCTGTCCAGCCGAATCTTAAAATTGTCCAGTGCTGGGGAATCCACCGCTTCCCTGGGGAGATTATTCCAATGGCTGATTGTTCTCATTGTGAACAATTTTCCTCTTGTGTCCAATTGGGATCTCCCCAGGAGTAACTTGTACCCATTACCCCTCGTCTTTTCCATGTGAC